GCACAGTCTCCCCGTTGTGCCATCCCACCAGGTCTGGTTTGAGACGGGCACCCAGCTGGCGAGGAGGCCTCTCTGAGACCCCAGGCCCAGAAAGAGACCCGTGGAGGGTGAGGAACCTTCCTGCTAACCCAACATCCATCTGCAGGCTCTGCTAAACCATGATTATTGGCAGTTGGCTGGGGTCCCACATTGCTCTGCGCCCCAATCATGCGGACCAAGTATGACTGGCATTGCAGGGCAGAAGGGCCATTGGGAGCAAATCGAAGTCAGCAACGTGAAGCGGAGTGGACTTCGACTCCCAGAATCCCCCCAGCCGGCTTAGGAATTCTGGGAGCTGACCTCCACCCAGCTCCGAGTTGCTGAGGTCGAGAAAGCGGTTCAGACAAACGGCAGCCCTTTGCAGGTTACGACCACAGGCGAGCCCAACGGTTCTGTTGCTAAGTGAGAGATTAGTTAGGTGAGTTTTACCCCATTTTACCACCTTTCTTCTCCCAGTTAGGGGCAGTTGTTAAGTTAGCAACCTGGTCGTTAAGTGAATCTGGCTTCCCCATTGACTTCGCTTGCCAAAGCTTGCAAAAGGGGATCAGGTGACCCGAGGGGGGGGTGGGGGACACTGCAACCACCACAAATGTGAATCAGTGGCCAAGTGGTTTTGATCAGGGAGACTGCAACAGTTGTGTGGAAAAAAGGTCATAAGTCACTTTTTTCAGTGCTGTGGTAACTTTGGACGGTCACTCAGTGAACTGTCGTAAGCCAAGGACCATCTCTCACTCTGTCCTGGTGCATTCGTGATTTCCTCTTGTTGACGGGCTGCTAATGACACGGCTCCATTTTCTTCCCCAGGTCGGCACCCTCGCGGCCCTGTCGGTCTGCCCCACCCGCTGAAGAGCAAGAGGTGGCTCATCCAGTGCCTGGGAGGAGCGCCGGCCCTCCAGCGTGCCCCCTGCCTGGGGGGCCATGTCACAGGACAGCGGGGGCTCGGCCCAAAGTGAAGCCGGATGGCGGCACCAGCAGCCGTAGGGGTGGCCGTGGGAAGTCCCGACCGAGCCACGCCTCGGAGAGACTCAACCTTCCCTCGTCCAAAGTGGGGCCAGCCACGGCGGGCCCACGGCGGGCAGACCCCGAGCCTTCCAAGGGGCTGGGCCATTCCTTGCGGCAGAAGCTGCAGGCCGCCGTGGGGCAGTGCTTCCCTATCAAGAGCCTCCCGCGCTCGCCGGACCTCTCTTCCCAGCGCAAAATCCACCTCCGGGAGCTGATGCTGGACACCTGCCCCTTCCCGCCGGGCTCGGAGCTGGCCCATACCTGGGAGCTGATCAAGCAGCACACGGTGCCCGTCTCCGAGCACGAGGGCCTGGCTGCCCTGCCCCCCGAGGACGAAGACGACCGCCTGAGGGAACGCCGCCGCATCAGCATCGAGCAGGGCGTGGAGCCCCCGCCAGACGCCTTGATCCACACCTTCGAGGTGACGGCGCAGATCAACCCTCTGTACAAACTGGGGCCGAAGCTCGCCCACGGCATGAGCGAGCTAACCGGGCCAGGCCGGGCCGCGCTGACCGCCACTGATGAGCAGGAAGAGGAGGAGGAAGAGGAGGAGGAGGAGGAAGAGCTGGAGTCGGCCTTGGCCGGGCTGCCGGAGGTCCGGGACGGCCTGCGGGCGCACACCCAGATCGACTACATCCACTGCCTGGTGCCCGATCTGCTGCAGCTGACGCAGCTCCCCTGCTACTGGGGCGTGATGGACCGCTACGAAGCCGAGTCCCTGCTGGAGGGCAAGCCGGAGGGCACCTTCCTCCTACGGGACTCGGCCCAGGAAGACTACCTCTTCTCCGTGAGTTTCCGGCGCTACGGCCGCTCCCTCCACGCCCGCATCGAGCAGTGGAACCACAACTTCAGCTTCGACGTCCACGACCCCAGCGTCTTCCACGCACCCACCGTCAGCGGCCTCTTGGAGCACTACAAGGACCCAAGCGTCTGCATGTTCTTCGAGCCGCTGCTCTCCATCCCCGTCCACCGCACCTTCCCCTTCGGCCTGCAGCACCTCTGCCGGGCCGTGCTGAGCTGTTGCACCACCTACGACGGCATCGGGCACCTGCCGCTGCCCCGGGCGCTGAAGGAGTACCTGAAAGAGTACCACTACAAGCAGAGGGTGAGGGTGCGGCGCCTGGATACCTGGGGCACCTGAAGCCGACCCCCAACCGCTGATCGGCCTCCCGGGTCTACCTGCCTTTCCTTGGAGGACAATTGTTACTTCTGAACCCACCTTCTCCCGCCTGGCATTCTCCAGAATGGGTGGCTGCCCGTTTCCGGTACTCCGAGCAGCATGCTGGCTGGAAACGCTGAGCACGGAGCCTGGCACACCCGGGAAGGATTTGGGCGGAGAGAGCGGGCCCATCTCCCTCCACGCCTTTTCGGGCTTGTGAGCACAAGGGTGTTTGTGGGTGCCTTTTTCCCAGTCTGGGTGCAAAATCTAGGGTGGTAGAGACTTTGGGCTGCGGAGGAGGAGGGGGCCCCCGATCTTTGCATGGCAGAGCAAAAAAATGAGGACTTCCGGTTAACCGGAATTCGTAGCATCAAAGGCCTGAGCCCCCCGCTAGATGGGAGGTTCTGCCCCGGGGGGGGGAGGGGGGGGCTCTTGCCAAGGGGCTCTACAGCCTGCCCCCCGCTTCCTTCCCGAGAAAAAGCACAACATTTGGGGAGGGGGGCTCAGGGCTGTTTCCAAGCCAGGCACAAACGTCGGGAAGGAAGACAAGTTGGAGCTCCTCCTCGGGCACAATCCCGCCTTTCTTCCATTCCTCCAAGTTGGACAGGTAGTCCTCGACTTACAGCGACCGATTGAAGCGCCGAAAAAAAGTGACGACCGTTGCTTAACACAGTCGCCGCAGCACAAAACGCACACACCGCAGTCGCGCGATCAAAATTTGGATGCTTGGCAACCGGGTCGCATTTATGACGGTTGCCGTGTCATGCGATCCCCTTTTGCGACCGTCTTGAGAAGGGTCAAAGGGGAAGCCAGATCCACACTTCACAGCCCTGTTACTAACAGCAGCAGTGATTCACTTAACAACCGCGGGCGGAAAGCTCGTAAAATGAGGCGCAATTCACCTGCCCTGCTTGGCAGCAGAAAGGTTGTGGTCATAAGTGAAGGACTACCTGTAGTTGCTGCTCTGGGGAGACCTCGAGAACACCCCGAATCCTGGGGGGGGGCGCAGGGCAAACCGCCTCCCTCCGAGGGACAAGATACGAGGAGCCGCAGATCCCGAAACGCCGGGAGGCCCTCTGGGCTCAACCTGTTGCTCTCTATTGTTGTGTCAACATTAAAGCCGCCTTGCTCCACTGTGCCTCAGGCTGGACTTCCCTCTTTAACCTTGGGCAGGGGGCTGCCCAGCTGCCCCTCAAGAGCTGGTCTCCGGGGCCCAGCCTTCACAGCCACGCGGGGGGGGGGGGGGGAGGGAGCCCCCAAGCCTTCCTCCACTCTGAAAAACCAGGGTTGATGGGAACAGGTGTCCGAGCAGCCTGTAAAGAAGGGGGTGGGGGGCTAGAGGCAGGCTTTGATTTTTGGGAGGGGAAACCCAACCCCCCCAAAAGGGAGCCCCGCCTCTACCGGTCAGGAAGGGCTGGCCTGGTTGAGCAGGGAGAGAGGGGGGGGGTCCAAGAGACGTGTGTGTGTGTGTGTGGC